TTTTAGCTTATAATTTATGAATATTTTTCAGGAAAAATACGTTCCTGGTCCATCTTGTTATGTGAAATAATTCAGATTATGCGGCTTTATGCAACGCATAACGATAATGCGTACGCGACATGATTGGACACCCTAAAACGCTAATCTATGAGTATCAAAAAGTAGGGGGTGTATCAAAATGAAAGTTTTGCCTTAATATTTGGCCTATCAGCTGCATGAAGTATCACATGACCGAGCGAGTTTACCCTCGTGGCTAAGCCATTAAAAATTTATCCATATAAATATCGCCGTTCTACTTTGTCTAACACAAAAAAAGCACTCCACAGAGATTTCTACAATAAAGTCTTTCGACTTTTGTTAGTTTATCTTCTTTTGTGAAAATTTAGTGCTTATAAAAAAGGGAAGCCCAACTTAATCGCGGCATATGATTTTTGAAACAATTTGTTTATAGTGCCGTTTCATGCTTTGGGTACATTAAAAAAAAAAACTTGAGTGGTATAAGTATACGTAAAACTTTAGAATGAGGATTTAAAGTTCGGGGATTTAATATTTTGAATATTTATAGTTTTACAATCAAGTATAAATATTTTTAAGAAATGTTATTTATGTACAAAAAAAACACCTTAAATCTTTATAAATCTGATAAATGAAGAGCACATTAAAGCATCCATCACAATCATTTGAGATATCATTTGCATTTAATTCAATATAATAACAAAGAAACTTATATGTAACAAATTTCATTTCAATTTTTTTATACATTGAAGTAATTTATTATTGAAATTTATTTTTGCAGCCACAAATTTAATTCAAATTTACAAAGAATCATGATATCAAAAATAAATAAAATTAGTAATAGTAGTCTTAGCTCCTATACGTCAATTTATAGGACATCAATGTTATTACTAAATTTATAATTTGGAATTAATAAATGATATACCCTTCTCGATGCTTAGCTTAAGTTCTGGAATAGCGGCAGCCAGAAGCTTTTTCTCATGTTCGGACAATTCACCAAGCCCATGAATTTTATGTATTCCTCCAGGCTACATTTTAATAAGAAAAAAAATTAGTACAATGAAATAAAGTCCGTATGACAGATAAAACAATATAAATGGTTTTTTTATTCAAATTCGTACCCCTAATTCAACGTTATGAGAAAAGTATTCCAATCCGTCGACAGTTTTCTTGAGGTTCGCACAATGTTCCTTATCTGCTTCTGCTTCGAGATAAACATAAGATGGTTCAATGATTCCTGCTTTTCCTTTTACAGTGGCATCCAAAATAGAAGATGCGAATCGTGCACCAGCTTGAGCCATTGATAGGGTGGCTGAACCTGCTCCATCTTTTGCTTTTACGACTTCGTCACCACCTATGAATGTTCATCGCAATTGTTAATTCAATTGGTTAATTAAATAAATACGTAGATATATAGATATATTTGATGTTAATTACCATATTGTATGCGATGTGTAAGTTTTTCAATTTGTTCTTGGGTGAAACTTTGCGGTGGTGATATTTGAGACAATAAAGGAACGATAGTCGGTCCACTGTGTCCACCAACAACTGGAACACGAACGTCACGAGAATCTGTGCCGCTAATTTCACTCGAGAAAGTAGAGGCTCGGATAACATCAAGAGTTGTTACACCAAAGATTTTTTTTGGATCAAACACACCGTGCTTTTTTAAGACTTCAACAACAATGGGAACGGTAGAGTTCACTGGATTCGAAATAATAAGAACATAGGCATTGGGCGCATGTTGTGCAATACCAGTGGCCAAATCACGAACAATTCCGGCATTAATCTGTATTACAATTTAATTAATTCAAAAGGCAAATTTTTTAAAAGCGTTTCCAAATAAATTCCAAGGTAAAGAGGTTTACCTTAAATAAGTCATCTCTCGTCATACCGGGCTTTCGCGGTACACCTGCTGGAATCACAACTAAGTGAGCTCTCGTCAAAGCATGTTTCAAACCTTCATCAGCGGGCAGATAACCGGTCACTCTTGCAGGAGTATTAATATGTCCCAAATCTGCTGCCACGCCAGGACTGTTGACAATATCATAAAGGGAAAGTTCTGTAACACATTCGTTAAGTTTGAGAAGAAGTGAGAGTGGTTGTCCAATACCACCAGAAGCACCGAGTACAGCAACTTTGACCATTTCTTTTAGTTAGAATTTGGAATATAGAGTATCGTAATAAAATTTTGTGAATTTTAATTTATTTAAT